TTAATGTGAAACCGAAGTATGACCGGTTTAGATCTTAATAGTTTAAATTTGTCTTCCAGGGTTAAGGTGTTGGAGGTGTTTGCAGAGCGTCCTCTGGAGTCAGTTTTCTCTCAGCTTATTGAGCCGCCCGCAGAAGGCAGTCTGGAGGCCGCTAAACAGCGCCTGTGTGCCCTGGGCGCCCTGACAGACAAGGAGTCTCTGACTCCCCTCGGTTGGCATTTGGCCTGTCTGCCCGTGGACGTCCGCATCGGTAAACTCATGCTGCTGGGAGCTATCTTCCGCTGCCTGGACCCTGCCCTCACCATCGCCGCCAGCCTGGCCTTCAAGAGTCCATTCGTAAGTCATCAGCCACATGTAGAAGATCACACTCCAGCGCAGTACTATGTTACCTGAGATCTTGCCATACTCACAGGTGTCTCCCTGGGATAAACGAGAGGAAGCTAATGAGAAGAAGTTGGGGTTCTCTCTGGCGAACAGTGACCATCTAGCTTTGCTGCAGGCGTACAAGGTCAGTTCAGGCTCTGATAAAATTAATGACTAAAGGGTATACAATTGATAATGTGATGGTTTTTTTTTCTTAAAATTTGTTGGATCATTTTATGCTTTTAGCTTCCAATAAAAATGTATTTTACAGCATTTGAGCTTTTTTAATTCCATTCAAAGACTTTTTTAATTCCATTCTGTTCACATCTGCATATCAGAATCATTATTTGGATTTTTTAAATTCTCGCCATTGGCTTTATTACGCTGATAACATCGAACTTATTGTTTCCAATTGTAAAACAATAAATATAAAAATGATCAGAAATTACTCATGATTTTCACAAACATATTAAGCGGCACAACTGTTTTCAGAAAGAAGACTCTTAGGCTCACCACTGGCTTATTTGATCAAAAATACAATAAAAACAGAAATATTGTGAAATATTACCATTTAAAATAATGTCATGCCACGAGACTTAATAAATCATTCTAATATGCTGATTTGCTGCTCAAGAAACATTATTTTACATAATATTTACAGATTATGTGAACATACTGAAAATATCTCAGTGAATTTTATTTTCTATTGACAATGCTATCAGTAGATTTTTTTTTTGTAACATTTTTGTTAATTAGACCATAAGACACCTTTATCAGTCAATTCTAATCATTTCATGATCAGTCATGAAAATGATCGGTATTCTCAATAAATTGATCTACTTCTGATCGTATCTTTTTTTCATGTTCTTTACGCATTTCTGATAATTACCCATTAAGATCTGAGCCTCGTTCATTATTGGGTGCATGTTCATTCATAGTTCGCTCAGTTCATGTGCTTGAACTACGCTGGTTAATATAATCATGGAGACTTGTGCTGATATGTGACGTGTTTGCTCAGGGTTGGTGGAATGCAACACAGAGCGGATCTAAGGCTGGTTACCAGTACTGCAGAGAGAACTTCCTCTCGATCCGGGGCTTACAGGTGAGACTGGACTCTGATTGGCTCAGTGTAAATGTCAGTCATTTTGGCATACTTGGATAACTGCTCTGTGTTGTGTGTGTGTGTTCTTTCAGGAGATAGCATGTCTTAAAAGGCAGTTTGCAGAGCTTCTGTCTGACATTGGCTTTGTGAAGGATGGACTGAAGGCCAGGGTCATTGAAAAAATTAGCTCGAAAGGAAGTGATGGGGTGCTAGAGGCCACAGGCTATGAGGTAACTGATTCTTGAGTTCAGAGACAAAAACTACAGAACTGAAAGATGTTCAAGTTTATGCACTTAAGATCATAGAAGTGTGAAAAGAAGATCTTCGGGATTAAGCTTTTTCTAATTGATTTTGATTGATTTAAGTGTTTTCATACATTTCTGACAGTGTTGACAGGTAGTAGAGACAGCTTTGAAACCGGAAGGATTTTCGGTTTCAAAATTGAAATTAAAATATAAAAGTATTTTCCATTATTTCAATAAAATGGTGCATTTGTGTTAACGTTCTAGTGATCATCTCTCATTAATATCAGTTTGTGCTATTCTCAAAACTATTTGGAAGATGTTTTATTCCATGTCTTCCAGACAGTGAATGGTTTTTGACACTATATATGTAATATTTAGACTGTTGGGTAAAATCTATACAAGATATATAAACTAAAAATAATGATAAAACCCATTAGTATGAACTCCCAGCATGTGACCTGTTCTTTTAACACCAGTGCTTTTCTGTCCCCCACAGGCCAACCTGAACTCTGGTAACACAAAGCTGATGTCAGCCATGCTGTGCGCAGCTCTCTACCCTAATGTAGTCCAGGTCAGTGCACAAATTTCTCTAGTGTGTAAGATGATTAATGTGAATGTGTGTAAAACATGCTGTGTTTTGTTTAGGTGAGATCTCCTCAGGGGAAGTACAAGCTCACTAGTAAAGGTGCTATGAAGATGCAGCCTAAAGCAGAGGAACTGCGCTTCATGACCAAGAGTGATGGAGCCGTCCACATACACCCCTCATCTGTCAACTTCTCTGTAACTATCTCATCTAAACTACATTTGCGCTGAACGTAGCATCTAAAAAATGATGTAATTTCTACTGAAACAGTGTTTTCAGGGCAGGATTTTGTCCATTCGATTGTGAAAAGTGGGCATTGTTAGACTGCAATATTATCAGTAATATTATTTCTAAATAATTTTACATTTTATTTGAACTGTCTGTCTTACATCATTTGTAAGTTTGTTTTAGAGGCGGATAAATTTAATATATTAAATATATTTTAAAATATAGTATTTTATATAATAAAATTGTGCATGTGTATATAATACATGTGCATGTTATTTTATAAATTTTTAATTTCATTAATAATTTATTCAGTTACATGTATTTTTATTAAATAAAATTGTTTTATATATAATTAACAATATATACACACACACATTTATAAAATATAATAAAAATATAAAATAATATAATAAATTAAAGATGTGTAATTATTTTTAATTCAATATAAACCATATATAATAAAATTATATTAATATATATATATATATATATATATGTGTATATACAGTATATAATACATATTTTATTGTATATAAAAATAAAACACACATCATATAAACTTACATTTATCTAGTTCTTATATAATAACTATATATATATATATAAAATTGTGATTTTGTTATTATAAATGACATGTTATTATATATTTATTTCTTAAATCAAGTGTAACGTTCACTCTGTGTAGGTGCGGCACTATGACAGCCCATACCTGGTGTACCATGAGAAAGTGAAGACCAGTCGAGTGTTTCTCCGTGACTGTAGCATGGTGTGCGTGTATCCCATGGTGCTGTTCGGTGGGGGGCAAGTGAGCGTGGAGCTGCAGCGTGGAGAGTTCATCATCTCTCTGGATGACGGCTGGATCAAATTTGCTGCTGCGTCTCATGAGGTAAAGCAGACTTGCACTAGAATATTACAGTGGCATGCGGTGACTTTTTTTTTAACCGGGTATGCTTAGTGATAAAGACCTTATAATCATGTTTATATGAATTATACCGTGAACTTTTTCTCTCAAATGGCCCGGGTATGCGGAGCATTCGCAGCTTATATGGACGGAACGCCACTGGAATATTATCTAAACTACATTTGCGCTGAACGTAGCATCTAAAAAATGATGTAATTTCTACTGAAACAGTGTTTTCAGGGCAGGATTTTGTCCATTCGATTGTGAAAAGTGGGCATTGTTAGACTGCAATATTATCAGTAATATTATTTCTAAATAATTTTACATTTTATTTGAACTGTCTGTCTTACATCATTTGTAAGTTTGTTTTAGAGGCGGATAAATTTAATATATTAAATATATTTTAAAATATAGTATTTTATATAATAAAATTGTGCATGTGTATATAATACATGTGCATGTTATTTTATAAATTTTTAATTTCATTAATAATTTATTCAGTTACATGTATTATAGTATGCTATGGCAGTATTTGATTTCAGATTGTGTTTATGTAGGTGGCTGAGCTGGTGAAAGAGCTGCGGTGGGAGATGGATCAGCTCTTAGAGGAGAAGATCAGAAATCCCAGCATGGATCTGATCAGCTGTCCTCGAGGATCTCGCATCATACACACCATAGTGTCGCTCATCTCCACACAGTAACACACATTCATCCAATACACAATGTTCTCGCACACCACTCGCATACTATTCAAAATTAAATAACAGTGGGGTGTTCACCTGAAAACAGCCTTATAGCTTGTCAGTAGAAGATTTTGTTGAACTGTGTGGAGGCACTTGAAAAATCTTTCATTCAAATGCAGAAAATGTACTTTGACAATGTGTGATTTCACACAAACATTTCCTAAATCCCAGAGTCCATATTGGACTGCTTTAATGCAGTATAACAAATGGCATGAAGTATTTGTGAGTGAATTGTGTCAAATATAAAATACATTATTATTGTGTTTTGAATTATGTACTTCTATTATAATGTGGGACTACTATGAAATGTCATATTTTTGCCAAAAGATGCATTATGAAGTGTATGTAAAAAAATAAATTAATTAACTGGATTCAAAATAATGGATTTTCTTATTTAAAAATAATCATTTTTTCCCAGTTATATTTAGGCACTTGTGACACTAAATAACAATTGTGTGATTCTATTGTGTTTCTATAATTTGTGCAATTTTTTTAATGTTACAGCTGCCTCATTACATGACTGCATTTTTTGGGTAACACTATTACGGTATTCACCTCAAAAAAATTATATTTTGTGAACAAATTACAGGCTTTTTTCCATTAGATAACATTAACATTTTAAGGTTTGCTTGTAATTATAAATTTTGGATTTATAATTAGGATTTATTGTAGGGGGGACAAATACCCCCTACTAAAGCAAATTATAGACAATTGTAGAAATACAATATTGTGCTCTTAGTAGCAGTACACACTAGGTTTGTCATGAAACATTCTGCCAGGAAAAATGTGCTGTTGTGTAATGTTGTAAAAGTGAAATTCACATGCTTTTGTAATTTCAGATCACTGAGAATGTGAAGCGTGTTGTGTGTGTGTAGGTCTCTCCTGGCCTCAGCAGAGCATCGGGAAAATGAGGCTGAGAAGAGACCGAGATCAGGTACATCTCATTAATTGAGGAACATAATGCCTTTTTCTTGGACTAAAGCAAACATACAGAATTATACAGAAAAAAAAAAAATACAGCATTACATACAGACAAACAAGTACACACATATGACCTGTATATGATATATAGTACAGGTGCATCTCAATAAATTAGAATGTTGTGGAAAAGTTCATTTATTTCAGTAATTCAACTCAAATTGTGGCATTGAATTTATTTAATACACGAGTTTCACAATTTGAGTTGAATTACTGAAATAAATGAACTTTTCCACGACATTCTAATTTATTGAGATGCACCTGTATAATGTATACTATAGTTCAAAAGTTTGGGGTTGGCAAGATTTTTTTTAACATTTCTGAAAGAGGTCTCTCATGCTCACAGAGGCTCTATTTATTTGATCGAAAATACTGTAATATTTTGAAATATTATTACAATTTAATAAAATAGCAGTATTAAAAATAAAATCTTACCGAGCTCAAACTTTTGAATAGTGTACAATTATCATGTGCCACCACTTTGTTTTGTCTGAATTAAAATGTACTTTTAATTCAGTTACCTGGTTAACAGCATCTGGCCAGTTTTGGGTCTCTAAACAGAAGGCACTGTGTTTGGAGTAAGCAGCTCCACCCTTTCCTTTCAATGTCCCATCCAGGAAGTTAGAGGTGTAGAACTGAACCCCAGGCTGTGTAGTGCTCACCTCCAGAACACGACCCGTCCCAGGATGCACCACTCTACTCAGACCAACACGTGCAGCCGTATTAATGCACATAAAGAGTAATCACGTGGGCTCAATAATCCAATTGAAATAACACAGGCTACCGTGCACATTTTCGCTCCAGTGGTGGTTCTCCAGGTGAACACAGACAGAAGTTGTGATCAAAGCCTGGACCAGGCAGCTCTTCCAGTCTAGAGCCCAAGAGGACAAGCTTTCTCAGGTCAAACAGGGTCTTCTCCACAGGTTTCACCTCCCCTGTTACATTGTAACAAAACCATATTTGACAGGTTCTGGTTACAGAAGTTTAAAAGATCGAATTCCCTAAAATAAGCAATGTGATAAAAATACCAGTCGGGATGGTCGTAAATGTCTGGTGTCCCCTGCAGAATTTAGGATATGAAATATCATTTATTGATAGTAGGAATACACCTGTTGTGTCCACAAAAGTCGTGCAGCCTTTAACCATGCAGTGTAAGACGAGGTTTATAAACTGTGTCCTTGTAGCCCTACCTGTCCAGCCAGGTTGAAGTATGAATGGTTGATGGGTGTAGTACGTTCAGTCTGTGCATGGTACAGCACACTCAGTGTGTTCTTCTCCAGCCTGTAGGTGACAGAAGCGTTTAGGTTCCCAGGATAACCCTCATCACCATCTGGACTGAAGTGACTCAGCTTCACTCCATTATCCACTGCCTCTGTGGTCCACACGGCCTGCAACACACAAACGCCATTAATGAGATGCCTACAATCATGCCTGCTGACTCACATAACATAACAACATACAATGAAGCTTAATTCGGACCGAAAAGGACAGGCATGGTTTTCATTTCAGATTCATACATGTCATGTTTGTACAAGTCATACTTTGTACATGTCATACTTTGACAAGCAAAGCCCTTCAGTCCTCCATGCAGAGCATTGGGTCCATTGTTTATAGCCAGTTCATATTCTTTCTCATCTACCACAAACCGGCCCTTAGCAATGCGGTTTGCAACCCGGCCAACCACAGCTCCAAAGTAGCGAGGGTTTGAGAGATATCCTAGAGTGAAATAAAGGGAATTAAGCATTATTTTCATTCTGTATATCTATAGTTAAGTCTAGTGATCGATATATCAGCAAGGCTGATTAATAGGCCAACATTTGGTTATTCTGGAATCATCGGCCTATAACATAACCATAACTGCATGTCTGATTACACGAGTGGTTCTCAACCTTTGGCCACAACAATATTCAAAGGCCCGACTCTCCTAGTAAATTACATTTCAAGAATTCAGAAGTTTAAAGAGTTGAATATTCGTTAGGGTTCCCTCACTTTTTAATTAACCAATGAATTTGCATGACTTAAATGAAGAATTTTACAAATATTTTTACTCACAGTTTCTACCTGATAAAATATTTTAGAGCTCGGCAAACAAGTAAAATGTACATCCTTAATAAAAGTGTCCATGGCATTTTTAAGATTTTATTAATTTGCATGACTTTTCCAGGTCTAGAAATCACACTTTTTATATCCATATATTCATCATATATCATGTATCCAGGTTTTTCAAGACCGTAGGAATTTTGGTTGTTGAGGGGATGAATTCAAAGAAGAAATATCATGATTTTTTTAGTTGTTTAGCTTATTTTAAAGCTTGTTTTGACTTATTTAAAATCATTTGAAGTCTTCTTGAGGCTTACTTGGAAGTTTGCTGCAGATCCCCTGGTTAAGAACCACTTGTGTTTATTTCAGAAAAGTCTTTAAAAGTGCACATCTGTTTTCAAAGATTTTTGCGAATTAAGTAAATATTGTGCATTTGTTCAATCAATTCTCTCAATTTGCATGCATTTGTAGGAATGTCTCATTAATTATTAATATTACATCAGCTATCCTGCTTTCTAAATATTGGTATAATTAGTCTTTTAAAATCATAAATTGGTCGACATTTAGTTAAGACTTTTTTCATAGGAGAATTTCATAGATGTCTTGACTAACTTACATAATGAAATGTTTTATCAACTGGATGTTCCACAAAACTAGAATTAATCTATTTTTTAAAAAAGAAATGCAAAAACCTTAATTTGTTCTCCAATTAATCTAATTGCTATTTAAGAGAAACAGCTGAGATATAACCGAATCATTATTGATTCTTCTCCTTTTTCTTTCTTTCTTTCTTTCTGTACGGACTGTGGCCACATCTGGCGAGGATCCGGTGTGCTGACGGACTTGATCACGCAGCCCAGAGAGAGGATCTCCACACTCACAGCGCCGGAGCGCAGGCGCCATCTCTCCACGGGACCCGGTGCAGCGCCGTACTGCTCTTTACACACCTCGGTCATTCTCAAACAAGCCGTTTGCTCAGACAGGATACACAGCTCCACCACTGAAATGAACGTTACAACACGGCAGTATAAATGACTACATCTTAAGTTAATAAACTACAAAGTACCGCCCTCTGTGTCAGAATCCCTTCTACCAATTTCGAGTGAGTAAATAGAGTTTGCTGGTGTTGTACTGCCACCATCTGGATTGGAGCAGTACTGCGCATATATACATGTGGCCTGCGCTGATTTTGTAATATGCATGTATGAACCATTTTAATTTAAACTTTAAACGTTGATATTAAAATGCATTAAACTTATAAAATGTTTTTTTTTATTTGCACGTTGCACATGAATAAAAACACTATTGAAAAAAGACATTGCAAAACAACATAGTTTTTTCTTTCTTTCAAAAATGAATTCCATCATAACTTATCTCCTGCCTTGTAATTATTAGCTGCTTTACTACATTAATAGTATAAAACAAAACAATCTTTATGGGGTTTGAAGAGGACCAATAAGTGCAGCAAGCTGAAGATCGGATAATATTGATCTAGAATACTAATTATAATGAAATTACAATAACTACAATACAATAATTACAAGAACATTTGATTAATCGCTAATTATTGTATACAGTTGCTATTTGTTTTGTTTAATTTAGCAGTGCCATTTGCTGACAGCTTTGTTCGTTTTTTTTTTTTCATTAATGAATTATTTTGTGACATTGTGACCTGGAGAGTTATAAAATCGGCAATAAATGCAGATAGATTTTAAACGTGTCAGTCTAAAAATAGACCAGTCCTAGATATGCTGTGCCTCTGAGGGTTCCTCCTTTAAATCTTCACACCTCTTTTGTTTCCTATCGTTTAGTTTCTCAGCGAAAATTTGCACAATGGCATAGCCTAAGTCTGAGATCACTATAATGTTTTCTCTTTTTTTGCCTTTTTCTTTTCTTTTCTTTTTTTTTAACCACGAATTTGTGTAAAACATGAAGACCATGTTCTCCAAAGAGATCCAAAGATCGTTCTTCAGTGGAAGAAATCTGCACATCTGAATAGTCACACAGTCAGTGCCTCAAATTGACTTTTTTACGTACTTTTTTGTCTATTTATCATATTTTCTTGTAAGAGCTGCTCTCTTTTTTATTTTGTCATCCACACTGACAAACCCATCTTTGTTTCCCAAACATCTCTGAGTGAGTGCATTAAGTTGACATGTGCAGTCTGAGGGAAACTGGGGCTGCGCGACGTCACACAGCGAAGTTTGAGCAGATCCAAGATGGCGGAAGTCGGCGGACCGAGGAGTCGGCATTTCTCAGCGACGAAACAGAAATGCCACAACTTTGCTGAAGGTGACAACCTCATTTCATGTCGTGTAGCATCGGAAAGCCGTTCTTCACAAACTCATTTTGTTTCCCCGGTGCTTGTTCGTTAGTTTGCGTTAGTTTGTGTTTTTAATGACCGGTTAAAAGTAAAGAAAACGGGACTTGAACTCGTGTTTTGTCTGGTCACGGTCGAATTTGAGCAGGTGTGAATCAGTTCGCGCCAGAAAGCGAGTTTTCCAGACCATAGACGTATATATATCTATGTTCCAGACCTTCAGCGCTTGTTGACGCGCGTCGCTGGCGTTAAAAGCCGCGTGAGAGTTGAGGTACCTGTCAGTGGGACCATAACGGTGTTATGCGTGATATGCCCACTCTCGGCGCATGTTTATTGGTAAACGGCGAGTGTTCTCGGCGAGTTCTTACGTTATTTTTATGCTTGCTGTTATTAGATGGCTTAATTTGCAACCTTGCAAACTTTGGAGCCAGTCTTTCTTATTTTCTCGCTTTGTTTTGGTCGTTCAGTGTGCGTTATTTATTAAACTCCAATATTATGGAGACCCGTGAGTGGAAGTGTATTTGTAAGTTCTGTTTTAATAATTTCAGACAGTATTTCACTGAATTCGCCAGCTGCTTTGTGATTGAGGAGCTCGTCCACGAGCCACTGGGAACTAATGAAACTTTGGTATCTACATTTATACGAGTTGTGCTTCTCGCATGCTCTCTTTAGCTTTAGGGTGATGGATGATGTCCTGTATGCCTGTGTGCTTAGTCTCAGAACTTACCAGGGTAATTTGCCATGTAAATTTACCTTTACTTAGGGCTTGGCTGTTGTGTACAGTAAATCAACATGTGGTGATGTTGAAGTGCGCAGGACAATTATATTAAGTTATCTTTTATCTATAAGTATGTCAGTCAGTTTATGAACTGATAAGACATAAGCAGGTGGTTATTGTGTTAGATGTTGGTGTCTAATTTGTATGTCTTGTCTGTCTGAAGTTATGTATCTGAGTTTGTGGTCCACATCAATGATATTGGGCCTTTAAACGGCTTATAACGATGTTATACTTTACCTGTTATTAGTTTTTAAAGATGGCAACAATTCTACTTTGGATTTAATCAGAGCAAACTAAAATATTACAGAATTATGTATGTTAGTAGCACTTTAAAGTTTCAGTTATCAAAATGAGTTAACTAAATTAGTTAACACAAACTTGCAATGAACAATACTTCTACAGAATTTATAATTCTTCAAGTTTACTTAAACATTTAATGTTACATGTTTCAAATCAATTTTTTCATTTTAGTATTTAACATTAGCACTGTGAATAACAACAACAACGAACAACTGTGTCTTTATTAAATTAAATTAAAAGATAATGAATAAATGATTAATTAATATATTGTTCTTATTAGCCAATGCATTACCTTAAAAATGCAACCTTATTGTCTTGATATCCTGTATCATTCCTGGCATAAGGAAGAGGTTCATTTAATATTATAGTATTTTTAGTCCGCTCCTCTTTTAACAACATCACACAAACTCTGGTGAGTTGTACATCATTACGTAGTCATGCTATATTAACGTTTTAATATATTATGTCAATTCAGTTTTTATATAGGCCTAAGTTGATAAACAGTTCTGGGTAGTAACTAAATACATGTAATCTGGATTAAGTAATCAGATCCAAAAATTAAGCACTTTTAATTAGATTACATTTTAAAACGGTCATAATCAGATTAGTTACTTTTTATGGATTACATGGTTACATATTATTCACACAATGGCAGTTTTCTTCTTAAATTTTCCTTTCTAAATGAACCTACCACTTATATACATGAGACACTTGTCTTCATCATATTCAGTGACCTTCACTAATTATTAATTTTGGAAATCTGGACAACAATATTTCAAACCTGGAAGACTTTGGCGTTGCAATGTCATGTTTTCATGTTTATTAATGTTTGCTCATATAATGCAGGGATTCCTCCTAAGGGTTTTTTTTTTTCTTCTGTGAGCCGAATCCCTTTGACCTTAAATATTTAGTCCCTTTGAGATTTCAAGAATTTAACAGCATATTTGCATGTTCATTCATGGTATTATTAGCCAATTATTCAGTCTGGCCAACATGAGAGCGTCATAAATCTGAATTGACCTGTACTTGCAGCAGTTTTGAATGGACTGTGCCCTCTCCAGTGTGTCCTTGGGTGTGTGTTTGCTCACACTGACACTGCTTGACTCTGTTCCAGTGGCTCTGCTCGGCTGGCCGTGAGCCTGAGGAGACTACAGCGAAGGGGAGAGAGGGTGTTTGTTTTGTGTTACATGTGTCTTAACCCGAGGACAAAAATGACCAAATTTAGCCCTGTGGCCGAAGGGATCTAGGCTTATCCGCAGCTCATGGATAAAGTGCATGGGGTTAAAACGGAGACCCACACTCCTGGAATAGAAAGCAGTAATGAGCTGCTAGTGAAGTGCTGAAAAGCAAAGCTGCAAACGTCAGAAAACCCATTTCTGATCATCAAGGACTGGGTCTCAGTGTGTGGATTTTTCTCATCCATGCTTTTTTGGCTGTTTTGGCCAGTATTGCACAACAAAAGAGGACATTGTGACAGATGCTGAAGCTGCAACAATATATATTGTTTTTAAATATGTAAAATTATTTAAATGTACCAATTACCAGTGTTATTTTAGTATTATTTGTTATATATAATGTTATAGTTTTATTAATATTTTGAAATAGCTTTTATTTTTATATTTTAAATATATATTTTTTAGTAATTTATGTGCTACTTATGTGCTTACTATTTAAATTTAATTTATTTCCATATTCATTTTGGTTCAGTTTAATTTTTTCAGTTAGTAATTTTAGTGCTTCAACTTAGAAAATGAAATGTGAAATTTTAAGTTTTTCCATCTAATATTTATATTTTATTTTATTGTAGGTTTATTGCAGTTAACAAAATGTTTTTAATTGTTGTAGTTAATGATAATAACCTTTCAAAATTAAATTACCCTGTTTTTTCCCTACAGATATGACCGGTGTGGAAGATGTTCCATTGTGCCGCCCCGTTGAGGTGATGAGCTCACTGGAGGCTCAACGCAGCTCTGATACTAATGGAGTGGCACCGTGTGCTGTAGAGGAAGAGCTTGAGCCGGAGGAGGACTCGGTTCCTGAGGGGGCTCGACCCATCCAAATTGTAATCACCAACGAGGACCATCATAAGTTTGAGTTGGATGCTGCTGCGTTGGAAAAAATCCTGATGCAGGAACATGTCAAGGATCTCAACGTGGTTGTGGTGTCTGTAGCTGGCGCCTTCCGCAAGGGAAAGTCCTTCCTGCTAGACTTTATGCTGCGTTACATGCATAATCAGGTTAGAACGAACCCCCTTCTACTGATGTAAGTGTACGAGTAGCTGAAAAATGGACATAATATAAGATTTTAGATTAAAATGTGTATATTTTTTAAATGAGAAATTGTATTGAATTGAATTGTTTTTAGTATGATGCAACTAGTCACATTTTATTCTTTTTTTTCCCCTCCATTTTTAATCTTCTTTTAATTCACTTTAGTCATATTTTGAAAGCTTATGTTTCTTATTTAGTTCCTATTGGGTTTCTAAATATTTTTCAAGGGTCCTCAAAACATTGCTTCAAGAATTGAGGAGAAAATTGTGTTGAGTAAATTCTTTATTCAGTCATTAATGTAGTTCCTAATTAAATAGTAGAAAGTATTTCTACCCGCATTTTAAGTTTCTATATTTCACACGTTGAGAAAAATCACACATTTTATTGTT